CCCCATCCCGGCCCCCGGCCCGTCCAGCTCCCTCCGTCCTCTGCGCCGTGGCCGGCTCCGGGCGGGCCGCAGGGTGCCGCAGGGTGAAGGGAGACTCGGAGCAGCGTTGGGATGATACAGCCCATCTTTATTAGACGGCTATACAGCTGTACAGCGAGGGCACGGGGCGTGCCATGCCGCGCTCCCCGGGGACCCCCGCGCCCGCACGCCCCGGCGGGAGATGAAGAAGAGTGGCTCGCCATGCACATGGGACACCGACGACACAAGCACAACATGCGGCAAGGACTCGGGCCTGCTCCTGCCCGGCCCGGCCCTCCTGCCAGCCCAGGGAAAGGCCTGGACGTCCCCCCCGCCCCAGAGCACTGCCAGCCTTCAGCCGCTCAGCTTAGAGACCAGCAACAAGTCTGCCGGGAAGCCCAGACGCGGCATCCCGCAGCCCCGGGGAAGGCTCACCTCCGTGCAGGGTGGCAGCCCCAGGTGCCGGGGGAAGCCACCGGAAAGCTTGGGTTCCCGGGAAATTTGCTTTCAGTTTCCCTTCACCATGCCATGACAGCCCCAAGCCGGAGCTGCTGCAGGGTGGCTGCAGCCGCTCCTCCATGGGAGGACCCCAGCAGCACCCAGCTCTGCGGAGCTCCTGCCCAGCTCAGTCCTGACCCCATCTCGAGCTCTGCTTTAGCACGCTCCGTTCGGTCCCTTACAGACCCCAGAGCAGCTGGAGCTCCGTCCTGTCCCGCCCCATGGCAGCAGGGAACCCGCCACCCCCAGAAAGCCTGCCCCTGCATGAGCACCCCGTCCCTGCTCACGCCCTGGCTACCCGGCTGCATGCACCCCTGCAGCGCTGGGAGCAGCCGGATCATCACCGTGCGCCCAGCCCGGGCTCAAAGGGCAGAGAGCGATAACCCTGGCAGGGGAAGAGAGGCGGCCCTGGGCTCCGGGGAGAGCAGAGGAAGCCCTGCAGTGCTCGCGGAGGGCACGGCAAAAGCAAGCAGCTCCTGCCAGAGGCAAGGGGAGGGAGGAGGGGAAAGCAAAGCCTTAACTGGGATGCAGATCCTCACAAGCTGCCGCTGGAAGAGAGGAGAGGAGAACCAGAACGATGGTGGGAAGGTCTTGTCTGAGGCCACGCTGCACAGCCAGGATCCTGATCCCCACCACCGCCACCCCAGGGCTGGACTGGGGTTCGCCTCTCCCTTCTGGGTTCAGGGCACCCCTCCTTGTCCCCCCCAGGCACGAGCCAGCTACTTGGTATATGGTCTCCGCAGCAGCCGAAGCCATGTTGCAAGCAAAAGGATGGTTTCAGGAGGGAAGGAGGAGCTGGGAGCCCCCGGGTGAGATGCGAGACGCACCGAAGCCTTTGCTTGGGGAAGGGGAAAGGCCCGATACCACAGAAACGGCCACATCGGGAGGACAGACCCGATACACCACAGCCTGGGCGTGGGGAAGAGGCCTTTATCATGTCTGGAGGAAGGGAACCAATACGCAGAGCACGAGACCTTCAGGGCAGGCTCCGAGGGGGCTGCGAGCACTCCCAAGGGACGCCGCGCTGCCCCATCCCGGGCTCCCTTTGGCACTGCAGGAGGGCCCGCTGGCAGCCCACATCTCATGGGTGCTGCGCAGGGGGGAGGACGCTGCCCTAGCCCAGAGGTATGGCACAGAGGCTGCCAGATGGGAGGGACATCAGGGACACCACCGACCCTTGCTTGCATGCAGGGGACGGGGCAGCTGTCATGGGAGTTAGGGAAGAGCTGCCGCATCCCAGGATCCTGGCCAGAGCTGTCCCCACCAGCTCTGGATCCCACCCCTACCCACGCCAGCAGCAGCTGGGGCCTGTCCCTCTGCAGGGTGCTGGGGCAGAGGGGTGGGTGACTGCCCCGCTGCTGTCCTGCTCTGGGCTGAAGGGCACAACACTGGTCCTCTCCAGGAGGGCGAACACGGCCCTGGGCACCTCCCCAGGGCCGCAGGCAGGGCAGGTGTGGAGCTACAGGCTGAGCCAGACCCCCCACAACAGCTCCTGCCTTCACGTCGGAGGGAAGTCCCAGCCCCAGGCAGACAGCTGGAGCTGGTGCCATCTCACGTCCCTTCGAAGAACAGCTGCTGCTGCCACCTCCAAGCCAGTCCACAGTTCCCCACTGCTAGTCCTGTCACGTCAGCTTTCGCAGGCTCTGCAGCGATCCTCCGACACGGACGACACAGATGTGAACACAGACACATGTATGTACTCACACACGCATTCACCCCACGAGTCAGAGTGGCGTTGACTTGACACACGGCTGGACACAAAGTGCCACCGCAAAGCCGCCGGCCTGGCAGTTTTGTCTCTTCGGCAACTGATGGCAACAAAATGGAGCCCGGGACTATCCTGTCCACTCGGGACGGGAGAAGAATCAGGCTGATGCCACGTCCTGCTGCCCAGGCGGCTCCCAGTCTGCAATCCCCACGAGATCCCCAGTCTACAAGGCTATACCTGCAAGACAGAGAGGGGATGTGGCACCTATCGGGGCCAGCCACCAGCACCCCAACCTGGCGCCCCGAGTACACCTTGCCCTTCTCAGCCACAGCCTTCACCCCTACCTTGTGGATCTGTGGTGGAAGCTCATCCTCTGAGCTCTCCTCTGGCACGGGCTCCGGGTGTCTCGCTGACTGCCCATCCTCAGCCCAGCCTCCCAGCGGGAGGCGGGAGAAGTGTGATGGGGCTCTGTGTACTGTGCCTGGGTCTGCAGGAGAGGCAAGGAGGAAGATTAGCTACCTGGGGGACTGTCAGTCTTCAGGGGCAGGCAGGCTGCTCGTGCCAGTCCATACAAGGCATCGGTTATGAGGCTTTGACCCGGAGCTCAGATCTCTGCCCTGGCTCCCATACCTGTGATGCCACCGTATCGCCGCTGGAAGCCGGTCTGCAGTGTGGCCGTCTCCTCGGCAGGCTGCCGTGGCGAGGAGAAGGGATAGCTGGCAGAGCGAGGGATGGGGACGGGGGCACCCCGCTGAGTGTCCAGCTCCTCATGGGCGCTCTCCCCGCTCTCGTCGCTCTCTCGCCGGTGCCAAGTGTGCCGCTCGGGCTCCAGCTGGGCATGCTGCTTGTGCAACTGCAGGCAAAACACGAGTGAGTCGGCTGTGTGGGAGAGTCCAGATGCCTGAACACACCCTCTCCCCAACACTGCACACACACTGGTCTCAGCTCTCACTCACACTGGCATCCCAGTCACACCAGACAGGGCACCCCAGTCCTGCCTGTCCTGCCCCGCACCCCTCTGGCTGGCCAAGCTCCAGGCTGCTCACCTCGTGCATGTAGAGCGCGTGGAGACTCATCTCGGTGGAGGCGTACTCCGACAGGATCATGCTCTGTAGCTGACCCTCCCAGGCGCTGCTCCCCGAGCTCACGGTCCTCGCATCGGCACTGCCACGGGACACACAAGTGGTGTTTGCTGCCCAGGTGCCCCTCACGCCACCCAGCCCCTCTCTGCTCTAACGTCAGGCCTGCAGACATCCGCTCCCCAGCTGCACAAGGTGACCAGCCCTGCTATGGCACTGCCTCTTCCCCACCAGGGGTTTCTCACCACTGTGGTACCTACGGGAGAGCAGCAGAACCCCAACACTGTCCTCTGGGGCCAGCCTACGCACCTGGGCCTAACTCTGTTTATGAACATGCCCCTTGCTGGTCCAGGCTGCAGAGACAAATGCCACCGTGCACTTAGGACAACAGGATGGCAATCAGGCAAGGGTTTAAGGAATCTGCAAGGTGTCCAGCTGCCCCTCTCCAGCCTGCAGCTTACCCAGAGGCTGTCATGGCACTGGCGCCACGAGGCTGGGCTCCCTCTCCATCCCTTCCCGCCATCTGAAAGCCACTGGGAGGCTGCTGGGCAGACTGGAGTGGAGAGAAGGAACGCAGGGCCGAGGCCACTTCGGAGAGATGGCGGGAGGCCTGTCCATCCCGGCCCATGTGGAAGCCCAGTGCCGAGGAGCCCGCTATCACATTGGCAATTAGGCTGTGAGGCTGGAGAGTTGAAAGAAAGAGAATCACTGTCCTGTGCAGACTTCGAGGCCTGATCCCCACCAGCGACACAGAACTGAGGCACCCCAGCTCTCTCAGCCCCTCTCCCACCTCACAGGGCCCCAGGACAGCCTGCTGCCTTCTCTAGAAACCCAGCAGCAGTCCCAACTAGTGCTGATCTATCACATTTGCATCCCCAGATACAGCCCAGGCAAGGGCAACATTGCCCAGAGGACCTGATGATCAGTTTGCCAGCACCCAGCAAGCACCCCAAGAACACCCCGCATCCCCCCCAGCCTGGGCACCTCCGACTCCGACTGCAGGGACTGGATGGAGCTGAAGAGGGCGTTTTCGGGGAGCACAGCCTGCTGAGCCAGCGCCACGCTGCTGTCCCGGTGCACTCGCTCCTTCAGGAAGCCGATGAAGGCCGTGCTCTCGCGAGGCGGCTGCCACTTAGGGTTGGTGATGGCAAAGTGCATGAGGGACAGCTCCGTCTTGACATCCACTGCAGAGCACAGACAGGTAATGAGGGACAGGATCTGCTTTACACCCCCGCCAGGCCCAGGAATCAGTCTGGGCAAAGCACGCAACACCCAGCATAAGCTGGGCCACGGCTCCCCATGTAGCAGGCACTACGCCAAAAGTACCCCACTACTTCAGCCCTCACAGCCTGGGGAAGAAGCAGCAAGCACAGCCTCTGCCACCTCCACCCCAGAACATGCATCGCTGCAAGGGAACCGGAGAGACAGGGACTGGCCACAAAATACAGAGCTGAAAGCCTCGAATTGCACTCTTCGGCTCCCAGCAGGAGTGACAACAGCCAACAAATGACTGCTCTTAAAAGCTTCCTGCCACAGTGAGTCCACCCCCTCCCTCGTTCATGGCCCTGTCACTAGGGAGTCTTTCCTGACAAGTGTCCTAAATTCCCAGGCACAGGAAGTAGATGGATCCCCTCTCCCTCCGCACTAGATTTTACATAATGGAAAATGCTTCTCATCTCCCTGAGGCTGCCTCTCTCCTGGGCACAAGCAGCCCAGCTTCTTTAAGTCAGTTCTCAGTGGTCACGCTTTCTAAATGTCCAAATAATCCCATTCCTCTCTCCTGAGGATACAGGACTCCTGGTTGTGAAGACAGGCAAGGACATCAAATAAAAAAACGACAAAGCCTGGTTCACAAAATATCGGATTAATAATCACAGCTGGGCCACAAGAGCCTTCTGGGGCTGGTGACCTGTGTTCGCAGCCCGACACCCAGCAGAGAGGCAGATGTCAGGAGTGGTGAGTTACGGCCTCTCATGGGTCTAAAGGACCAGACGGGCTGGTGGGGAGCCCAGGCTGCTCCCCCACCACCCACAGGACCTACCGCCGGGTGGCCATGCTGGCGCACGTCCATCTGGGCAAAGGAGCAGGTGTCGCCCACACCCACCACCTCCACGGTGAAGTTGCGGAAGAAGTCAACGATGTCCAAGGACTTGGGTCGCAGGAAGACGATGAGGATGAGGGGGGTGATGATGGGACTCAGGAGCTCCTCCAGGATGAAGACCTGAGCACAGAGACAATAGGCTCACCACAAGCTTGAGGATGTCAAAAACCCCGCAATCCCAAAGCCAGCCCCCAGCTCCAGCCCATCTTCTGGGGCAGGGTGTTTCTGAGAAAGCTGCCTTGTTCCTCTGCCAGCCCAGGAGCTACTCAGCTCTCCGGCAGCTTCTCCCTCCTGCAGGGATGGGGGTGAGTGCCCATCCCAGCCCCTTGCAAGCCAAGCTCACCGCTTTGTACTGGAAGAGCTGGGCAAACTCATCCCTGGTCTCATAGCGGTGGGCATTGCCCTGCCAGTGATCAGGCATGTAGTGGATGTGTGCCAGGATGACTCGCAGCAGCTGCTCTGGGCAAAACACTAGGTGCTGGTCAGGGATGAAGGACCTGTAGGACAGGACAGGGAAACATCACACCTCAGTTCCTGGGAGATCTCATCCTGGGAGGGCAGGGCGATCGGCCCATATCACAGCTCCACCTGCAGCCTTCACACCCAACCCAAACCTTCCTGCCAGCCCAGCCCTGGGGTGTTGCTGTACAGCTCCAGCATATCATATCGACCCTCGTATCATAGAGCCACCCCACCCAAGATCACCACTACCCCCTTCTCCTGCCTGCCCCAACTCTCTCCAGCCGTGCCCTTCACTCAGGCAGATTCACATCCGCTTGCAACCAAAGAGCATGTTTGCACGGATGGCTGTCAGCCTCACTGCTCCCCGCAGCGCTGCCAGGAGCACAGGGGCAACACAGACCCACCTCACCTGCACACCGTGATGCCCACCCCGAGCAGGGTGACCGTGGTCAGGACGTGCTCAACTGCCAGCACGTCCTCATCGTAGATGGTGAGAGCGATGAGCACAGCCAGGATGGAGCCAGCAAAGAAGGCCACGTTCTTGGCCACGATGGTAAGGAGCGGCGAGATAAAGCAGTTCACAAAAGGCCCGGAGGGGCTGGTGGGGAGCCCAGGCTGCTCCCCCACCACCCACAGGACCTACCGCCGGGTGGCCATGCTGGCGCACGTCCATCTGGGCAAAGGAGCAGGTGTCGCCCACACCCACCACCTCCACGGTGAAGTTGCGGAAGAAGTCAACGATGTCCAAGGACTTGGGTCGCAGGAAGACGATGAGGATGAGGGGGGTGATGATGGGACTCAGGAGCTCCTCCAGGATGAAGACCTGAGCACAGAGACAATAGGCTCACCACAAGCTTGAGGATGTCAAAAACCCCGCAATCCCAAAGCCAGCCCCCAGCTCCAGCCCATCTTCTGGGGCAGGGTGTTTCTGAGAAAGCTGCCTTGTTCCTCTGCCAGCCCAGGAGCTACTCAGCTCTCCGGCAGCTTCTCCCTCCTGCAGGGATGGGGGTGAGTGCCCATCCCAGCCCCTTGCAAGCCAAGCTCACCGCTTTGTACTGGAAGAGCTGGGCAAACTCATCCCTGGTCTCATAGCGGTGGGCATTGCCCTGCCAGTGATCAGGCATGTAGTGGATGTGTGCCAGGATGACTCGCAGCAGCTGCTCTGGGCAAAACACTAGGTGCTGGTCAGGGATGAAGGACCTGTAGGACAGGACAGGGAAACATCACACCTCAGTTCCTGGGAGATCTCATCCTGGGAGGGCAGGGCGATCGGCCCATATCACAGCTCCACCTGCAGCCTTCACACCCAACCCAAACCTTCCTGCCAGCCCAGCCCTGGGGTGTTGCTGTACAGCTCCAGCATATCATATCGACCCTCGTATCATAGAGCCACCCCACCCAAGATCACCACTACCCCCTTCTCCTGCCTGCCCCAACTCTCTCCAGCCGTGCCCTTCACTCAGGCAGATTCACATCCGCTTGCAACCAAAGAGCATGTTTGCACGGATGGCTGTCAGCCTCACTGCTCCCCGCAGCGCTGCCAGGAGCACAGGGGCAACACAGACCCACCTCACCTGCACACCGTGATGCCCACCCCGAGCAGGGTGACCGTGGTCAGGACGTGCTCAACTGCCAGCACGTCCTCATCGTAGATGGTGAGAGCGATGAGCACAGCCAGGATGGAGCCAGCAAAGAAGGCCACGTTCTTGGCCACGATGGTAAGGAGCGGCGAGATAAAGCAGTTCATGTACTTGGAAGCTGGCTTGTACCCCTTGCTGAGGCGTGAGTGCAGTTCGTGGTCCAGCTCGTTGAAGTGACGGAGGTAACAGCGGCCGTAGAGAGACCAGCAGCGGGCACCCAGGCTGCCCGGCTCCCGCTTCAGGATTTCTGTGTAGCTGAAGAAGGCGTAGAGGATCTGCCAGATGAGGATGAGGGGGCAGAGGAGGAAGTTAGCAATGCCAATCCAGAGGATACGAGTGCTGAGCTTCTCAGCCAGCTCCAGGCGGTTCCCAGCCCGCTTGTACTCGGCCTTCAGGCTCCATTCGTTCTCAAAGAGGGAGCCAGGCCCCCAGAAGAAGATGAGTTCGAAGTTGTACTTGAGCCCACGCGTGTAGAAGACGGTGTCTCCCAGCAGGGGCAGGCGGAAGCGGATGGGCAGCAGCGACTTGTTCACCATGGCCACCATGTAGTTCTTGAAGCGGAGGATGCGGTGGTAGATGTCCAGCTCCGTCAGCTCCTTCTTGTGGATGCAGATCTGGTGCTCCTTCTGGATCTGCACGATGCGGGCCTGCACCTCCTGCCAGGTGTAGTACGGCAGGGTGGACTGGAAGGGGGCAAGCGGCAAGGTTAGGGGCAGGACGCATCCAGGGACAGAGGCTGGGCTGAGCCCACTCACAGAGCACACACCTCGGGGTGCTGACGAGGCACATGCAACACCAGGACACGAGGCACCTCCTTGCGCCGCTTCAGCCTGCAGCGAGCAAATCCCATGCCTTGCCCTGGTGCCCTTTACCCCTGAATTAGTGCAGATGACTGTTTCCCAGCCACTCACAGGCCAGCTGCCTTGGAGGCACAAATGCAGCTCCAGGCTCGCATGGGTCCTCCGAGAGCTGCCATTTGCAGTCAGCAAGCAGACAGGAACAGGGAAAGGGACTTAAGCAGTGTCCCAGAGGGGGCCTGTAGAAAAGCCGGGGACAAACCAAGCCTCTTGGCTCACCCCACCTTTCTCAAGACACAGTCTCTCCTCAAAGGATGCGCACACACCTTTTGATGTTGCCCATCAGAGCAAGGACTCTGGACTAGGATATATGTGCAAGCCTCAAACCCCATCTTTGACACTCCAATCTCCAGTGTGGCCTTCACCATGGCAGCTCCATGCCTCAGCTTCCCCCCCAGCAAACAAGGAAGATGACGTCGTCCACAACCCAGGGAGGTATGCGGATATCCTTGCTTATGCCTTCTCTGTTGAAAGCCATCACAGAAAAGGCCATCGCCGAAGAATAAACATATTGGGTGGCAGATGGCAGAGGCATGTGCCAGCAGGCAGAGGCAGGCTGGGCAAAGAGGGGTTAACAGGCTGCTGGAGAAGAGGCTGAAAGGACACCCATGCGATTATGGAGCAGAGGGACGAGTGCTCAGTACAGGTCTCCCAGAGAAGCTGGCCCCAGAGAGGAGTGAAGGCGAGCTGCTTCTCGCCACTCAGCAAATGCCTCCCGTGTCCTTTAGCGGCCCCGCATGCGGCCCTTGGCCCAGCTACTTACCATGGGGATTCTGAGGGCATTGATGTAGAAAGAGTGAATCTCCCAGTAGCAGCAAATGTTGTAGATGAATTTGACAAGTCGGTGGATCCAGAAAACCCCGGCTATCACCAGGATGCAGATGAGGAAGCTGTTTGCCTGGATTCTGTAAGCAAGAAGAGGCAAGTAGTGGGAGACAGGCCGAGGCAGGTGCCCTGAGTAACTGGGAAAGGAAGAGCAGTGGCTAACGTGTCCTCCGCTGCCCCTACCTCGCGCTGCAGACATTTGGAGGCAGGAAGGCATCTGGCAGAGTCACCTTAATGGGCTCACTGGGATGCTGGCTGTGATTTACCGCTTTGTTGGCAAAAAGGATGTCGTAATCAACGCAACTGATAAGAAAGGTGGTGAACGCCACCACGAAGATGAACTGCCTGCGAAGAAAGGGAGCAGCCGTGAGGGAATAGCCCTTCTGCCCCCCAAAACATGAAGCAGGCAGGGTCACGCGTCACGGAGATGCATTCCCACAGCCATGGCGGCAGGAAAGCTCAAGGGCACCAGTTCCTTGAAGTGGAATGCAGGTTTGGGGCACAGAAAACCCTAACGAAGGGGAGACAGGACAATTGTAAAGGGAACCCTCCCGCCCCCCCAGCTGCAGGAGCTCGGTGGATTCCTGTGGCTGTTCCCCAGCAGCTCTCACAGCCACAGCAGAGGGGGAGCCTGCACTTACATGAGCTCAAAGATCTCTCCAATGAGCATGCAGGTGAAGCCATTCTTCTGATGCAGGTTATAGACGTGAAAGCTACAGTCAAGGAGAACAGTCTGGAGACTCCTTCCCTCTGACGAAGGACAGAGAGGCTTCTGTCCCACTGGCATCCGCAGCTCCCCAGCCAAGTCCCCCTCCACCACCAATGGAAACGCCCTCACATCCCTACTCATCAGCAAGCTGGTTCTCCACTGCAGGGAAACACACTCTGCCCAGGTAAAGCACAGCTGGGATAAGCGGACTTGGCTCCATCCAAGCTCCTTTCTTCCCCTACCCAACACCCAGAGGGGGGTCTGTCCCAGCACAGAGCAGAAACTCAGCGTGCCCTCAGGCCGCACAAGGGTGGGCAGGGCAGGGCAGGATGACACAGAGACAAGCAAAAATGCATTTAATACCGCCAGCACGTATGACCGGTACCCCCTGCTCCCGACCCCAGTAATGTGGTTAACAGAACTAATGCCATTTTATAAGGCAAGCAGCCATTCTCCGTGACCGAGCAGGTCACGTATTAGTTTCCTTTCCCTCATTATCAGGGCCTGAAGGTCCTATGAACCAAGGAGACAAACCAAACAGATTTCTTCTTCCCCTCCCCACCGGCCTCAAGACTCCTGGGCGCCAGGCCAATTACTCCCTTCCTTGCTGGCCTTGGAGGTCCCAGGCACCCAGCCAACCCAGTTGCAGTGATGATCCCGTCACAGAACAGGGAAGCGTAACAGCACACAGAGCGCTGTCCACAAAATCACGGAGTTACAAGTCCTAAGTGGGAACTTGGACGGGAACTGCTGCTGGACAGCGAGACCATGGCCAGGGACACCTCCACCGTCATCTGTTTCCTCTGAGGACTGAGTGACTTGTACGCTTTTATATGATTTTCAAGTCTAGATGATGATTGTTATACTGACATAGCAAACCATGTGTTAAGATCGGACCCGATCTGCAGAGAGTCCAGGTGATTAGAAACTGTAAGCTAAGCGGTGCCATAAAATTTTGTACTAGGCTACTTATACAATTGCACTACACTGATTCTGCTTACAGAAATCCTGTGCTATTCTGATTATACATTCTGTGCTATGCTAATCATAAAATCCTGTTAAGGAAATAAAGCTTTAACTGTAACTACAACTCAGTGGTGTCATCACTCTGCCAAGGATCCCTAAAAAAAACGTGCCTGTCCTCTCAGTGTCGGTGACAGCACCCCACAGGCATGGGGGTTCTGCCATCCCCCAGCCCCTCTGGAGCTGTGCCGTGTCCTCCGGAAAGGGGCAGACGCTGCCCCAGCCCCGAGTTCCACCAAACCCAGTGTTCCCAGCAGCACCGAGAGCTCAGGAGGTGGTGGGGTGCATCCCGCCTGAACCCCCTCCTGCCAAAGGATATGCGAGAGAAGAAGAGGTCCAGGTTCTCGATGTGATGCCACGGAGCTGACGGAAGAGAAGCTCGGGGTGAGGGCCCCTCGGGCACACCCCGCCTCCCCGCCTGTGGGGCACAACCCCACCTCTTCCCCCCGTCCGGGCCCTCCGAGGCCCCAAACCGGCCCCGCAGCCCCCAGCCCCGGCTCCCCTCGGTCCCTGCCTGCTGCCCCATCCCCCGCCAACCGCACCAGCCTGG